TATAGATATATATTGTAGTCGGGAGATCACAACTACAAAGGTGAATTCAGTGGATTTGTAGTAAGCTGTAAGAACTTAAGAATAACACATTTAGTCAGAAATAACACACAATAATATTTAATCAAGACGATTCATATTTGAGTAACAAGATTCTCTCTCCAAACCAATTTAAAGCATTGCCACTTCTAACACAAATCACTATAGCCGAACAACTATACTCTACCAGTTAGAACATGCTATCTACTGTCTGCTCGCTAAACTACACTATTTCTATCCTCCTTGAGCTTGACACGCGTTCGCTTTTATATGAGCGCCCGAACTGGTCGTCTCTGTCCTCTTCACGTAACAGTTTTCCCACTTCATTGCCAAATACGGTAATCAACACGAGCATGCGACGTCGCTCGCTCTTCGCTCCTTGGCTTAAATTCTACTGCGCAGTTCGACACAAGTCCCTGCATCGCCTCTTACGCCAAGTTATTCTTGACCAGGGATGAGTCATTGCCAACGTAGCTTCTCCTTCTCGTGTTACTAGCTCCGGCTATCATCCCGTCCGCCACTATAGCAAGTCAAGCATTTGCTACTTTCATATGCAGCAGCTACATTCATGTAAATTGCTTGCTTACATTTCCTCTCCCACCGACGAGACGATGCGAAACATCGTCAAAGCAGGCTCCTGGCTGCGCTAAAAAATGTTCGCAACGTGAAAAAAAAACATGCAATCTTATTCTACTCCACAGCATATACTAAGCAAATAGAACAATGAACATTGATGCTGGCTCGATGCACTATAGTTACTCGATTATACTTAACTTATAGTTACTAGTTACTCGGTGAAATGCGTTTACTATTTAATTTTCAACAGTATACCACGTATGATTTAAGATTTAAGATTCATTAACTCATTTGTTGTACTACTTCATGTTATTGGAGAGAGATATCCTCGTATCTTCCGTTACATAATATAAAATGTACAGTTTTCGTGTAGGATAAGTAATAGGAAATGGGAATCAATCACGTGACATAATTTGACAGCGGGAAAAGTGGGAAAAGACAATCTATCAAGGGGAAGAAGGAGAAGTGAGGAACAAGGCAGGAAACAAATTAAGTGTGAGTAACCATGCAGCAATCAAAATAGTATCAATAATTGAACAGCAACATAGCAGGGTGTCTCCTCAGCCTGTCTCGTCATGAAGCACGATGAACCCACGGTGGTGATCAGCCTCCGTTGGTTGTCGTCACTTGACTTCGGGTTGACTATTGTCAAATTCTTCAGCACCAATAGTCGTACACATAACATATCGGCTCCTCTATCAATGATTTGATGGTTTGTACATCCCGCTGCGTCCAGCGGCTAGTACAGGGAGTCAAATATGAGCTGCCAATTATGATGTCGGTAGACGGCAATGTTAAAGTTCCCATAGCAATCGACTCGCTAAGAGACACTCGTTGCAACGTTCACGTATGGAACTGACGAGCCAGCTTCACACCGGTCAGTCAACGCGGCGGTGTTGCTGTAGTGCCTTCTATTTCTAACCTGTGGACTATCTGTAGGCCTACTATTGCACATATAAGATATTATAGCAATTACTTCTACCCAAAACAATTACAGGAAATAAGATATTCGTCGACGCAAACACAATCATGGCCAAATAATAAGGTACTAGCTATTACCCGTCCTCCAGACGGGGTTAAGTACGGTCTGATTTGAGAATGGCGGTTTAACCATTTATCTCTCACTGTTATTTGAGGATGTATTTACAGTAAACGAAAAATACTGATATTTAGACTCGAGTCGTATACCAATATTTGTTTTAAATCTTTTTTTATCTAAATATATATAAAATCTGAAATTTTACCTTAAAATGACACACAATTTCACTTATTTAGGTATTATTTTTGAAAATATCATTCTGGTTAGAAGCATCAATAATAAGTCAAATTCTTGAAAAAAAAGAAGCAAAATGCATTGAGTAATTTTGAAGATATATTTTCTTGAAAGTTAGTGGACGGCGGCGAGCAGGGTTACACCTCCCGTTGTCAAATATTTGCACACACGCGCGCGCACACACATCACACACACGCGCGCACGCACGCACACACCGCATTCACACACATACATACATACATACATACATACATACATACATACATACATACATACATACATACATACATACATACATACATACATACCAGGAGTTAATGAAGACAAATGTTTGTCTTCATTAACTCCTGATACATACATACATACATACACCCACACGCGCGCGCGCGCGCGCGCACGCACGCACGCATGCGCACACACATACACATACCCACACATACAACTGCAGCCGTCTCTCGTTGGGGTTTGTCTTAAATGTTCGCCTCACAGCTGTGCGCAGCAGTGGGTGCCTGTTTATACACCGCAGCCGCTATGTCTTTGGTGTGAGCGTGTCTGCGCGTGCCGGTGTGCGTGCGTGCGTTCGTGCGTTTAGTGTGGCTTGCTATGCTAGGTGAAGGCTCCAGCTAATTAAATGATCATTATTATACCTTTAATCTACATTTAGTATAGCTATATTGTCATTAAAACCCGTGAGAAAACATATTAATACTTTAACACAATTTCAAAAAGTTATGGTATATATAGTGTGGCATGTGTGTGCTCTAACTTAAACAATCGAAACGGCGTTTAAAAATGTGAGAGCATTGGGAGCCGGGTAAGCGCGGGCACGGTTACACCTCCCGTTGTCAAATATTTGCACACACGCGCGCACGCGCGCACACACCGTATTCACACACATACGGGCGTGCGCAACCACATACGACATTTACACAAACACGGGCGCACACACACGCACACGCACACACACACACACACATACGCAAATTTTCGCCTCAGCTGTGCGCGGCAGTGCTTGGTTGTTTATACACCGCAGCCGCAATGGCTTTGGTGCGTGCGTGTGTGCGACTGTGCGCATGCGGATTTCGCGATCTTAAAAGTTGGTGCGAGTTTCCGATGAATTCCGAAGTTTCTTCGGGCACATGACTTTTTAGAAAATTGCCTCCAAAAGTCACTTTACGATGGAAAAATCGCGTTCTAACGTAGCAGAATGTATTCGCGACGCCCAGAAGGGGCCCCAGCTCAATTCGCGCGAGCACACGCGGCACAGTTTCGGAGGAGACACGGAAAACGACGCTTCGGCTCTTTCTACCATTATATAGTAGATTTACAATTCCGGAATTTTCAACGAAGCTTCATAACTCTGACAACGCGTATGCGAATGCGTAAAATCGCAAATACGAGTACGTAAGCCTAGAATGCTCGACTGAGTGCTCGATAAGAAGTATATAACTCGCATTAATATCTGAAACAAATATGGTGATAAGAAAGCAGAGGAAATG